CGTAGAATTGGAGATTTTAGAGTGACTGACTAAAATCCCCAATTCGGTCATATCGTTTGGGTGTTGAAGTGTAGATGTTAGCCATCAGGCAAGGGGAACGTGGGAGCTCCGAAGTGAGAGCCGGTATCCTCCCAGCCTAGCCGCAGATTCAGTAAACAAACATATGATTAGTCAATGTTCTTTATGTATGGACCAAAGGGTAAAAAATAGGTATGCTCCTATTTGACATAATATAATTTGAACTAATTCACTTTATCCATTAACTATAATTTCTTGACAAGGAGAAGGATGTTTTCTTATATATTGAATATCACATTTAAACACTCATTAGTATCATTAGTTATTTAATAGTTATTAAAATTACATATTTATTTCAATTTTCTATTAGTGACAGATAAGCAAATTGAACTTCGTTGTTGCGATTAAAGTATTGCATTTCTAAAATCTTAGTTCGCAGTTCTAAACCACTTCTTGTGGGATCGATATCTAGGACTCCATTAGAGCCATGTATTACTTGAGTGATATGTATACTTGCGTTGATAAGTGTGACTTTACAATTATTGAATATTTATTACAACCATATTTAACTTATATTTTTTAGCATATATAAAGTCGACGGTCAAAAGCTCATATGCTTTACTCTTTCTAACCATTTCTCTTCTAAAACCTACAATATCTTCAGTAACAAGAATCACAATCATAATTTGTTACATTTTCAATATGGTTGCATCTGGGTGAGCTTGGATGGTTCCAAGTTTTCTTTCAATTCCATGAGCATACATACCTAATTTATTCCTAGCCAAATCAACTACACCTCCACTATTTATTTTCTAATTACTTTTGTTTATGCAGACAATAATGCATCTCAAAGAAAAGCTCTACGACACTTCATCAACTTAATTGTTATAAACATTTTCATGCCTTGGATCATAGTTAGATATTTCAATTGCATCAAGAATCTTAATGAAAAAAATTGGTGGTAATCCACCTCTACAATACAAACTAGTGAGCTTGAACTCTTGTATCTTCAAATCAGAGCTAATTGAAAAGATAGATAATTAATTAGTGTATTGTGAATTGTTGTTACAGTGTTGAGTTAACTTTTGTGTTTAATTTACTTTCTGTCTAGCTAGTAGAAGTGTTAACATCCTTCGTGAACTTCGAGATTCAAAAGGATACTTAGTGGAGCAAAAGCAGTTAACCACATAAGCTTATAAGAATAGGATATTGCTTTAGAGTTTATACTAACGTCTAGGGAGTTGTTATTTAATGGGCCTGCTCAAGAGATTTAGGGAACTAAACCCTTAACTATCTAATTTCCTTAGACTTCTGTAAGGGGATAAGGAAATTGATAACTCCTGATAGACACTAAATTGTAATCACTATTGCAACTTTATTCTTTATTAGATCAATTTAAGGTGAAATTATCTTGATATTTGAATTTCCTCAAAATTCCAATTGGATAATAAGTATAGAAACATTTATGAACCTTAAAAACTTGAGTCATTCAAGCTAGGATCGGCGTTAGTAAACTAGAACTTTTTCAACTTGAAATTTGGCTTGTTACCTATGGGATCAATACATGGAACTCAATTCCGTGTAATATTGTTACGTCACGTATACTTGCATGAGTTAATCATACTTCAACGCACTAGTAACATGTCAATATTCAGGTGAACCATTGACAAGTTATTGCTTCTTCTGCAACCATTTTCTATTCTAATTTTGTTAACAACATTAATACTTGTTCCAACCCGTCTCTTGATATTCCCATTAGCATAAGTATTACTTGCTATGAAGTTGATCTTCTTACTAATACTTTTTTAAATGAGGACATCAATTAAGCTTTATTCCCCATCGGCTCTGATAAAACTTTCAGTCTAGATGTTTTGAACCCCTACTTATTCAAGGATAAGTGGGATATTATTGGGGAAGCATGCATAAATGTTATTCAACACTTCTTTACTTCATCTAAACTACCAGGCATGATTAAATATATTGCTTAAAACCATATACTTAAACCTCTCCATGCTCAAGGGTTAAATAAATACAGACCTACATCATTATATAACACTATCTACCGAGTCAATGACTAACTTCTTGCGCATAGAAGTAAATGATTTATAACTTTCATTATTCACCTCTTTGAGGCTA